AACGCAGACAGCAGTTACCTTGGGAGGTTTTAAGCAAAAGCAAATGGTGGGGGAAGAATTGCAAAGGAGATCTTCAGCATTCTATTTTTTAAATTTTTACCATGAAAATATCCGCATTACTTACATAGTTCAAAAATTAAAATATAGATTTGACAAGCATCAATGTTTTTAAAGCATATTTAGAGTCCCGCAAGGCCTCTCTCTCAGTTTTTAACTTCAGGCAAAGTACCCTATGTCTCCTCTGGAGACTGGGGCTAGTAACAGTACCTATCCTCAGGGTTGTTGAAAGATTAAGTGAGCTCTGCCCTGACACATGCTCAATTCTCAACGGAGAGTGGCAGTTAGTTGCCCTTGGCCAGGGGTTTCTCAGGAGTGCTGACAGGAGAGAGCAACAGAGGAGCCCAAACTGCTTCTCAAGCAAAGTCTCAAAAGCCTCCGGGAGCTGGGGACGTTGTCAAGCTGAGCAAAAAGACTTAACTGACATCCTCTTTGTCTCCTGGCTGAACAGGTCTGGGTGATTCTCTTCAGCACTCCCTCCCCCAACGTCTTCCAAACTCAAGTGGCGTAGCAGGAATGAAAGGCTGGGCCCCAGGCCAGTGTTAGTGAGGGGTCCTGTTGGCCTTTGGCAGTGATGAAGCAGGTGACGACCAGGGTGCCTCCCTTTCCAAGTCCTCTTAGGGCAACATAGGTCCACAGCCCTCCAGGGGCTTCCGGTCCCCAAAAGGGTATTATTATCTTGGAAAAGCCACCACCAGAGCCATCCACTGAGCAGACAGAAGGAGTCGATGCTCTTAGTTCGTGCTTATTAAAAGTATGCTGAAGGATTGAGAGGAAAATAGAAAGAACTAAGATTCACTGCGAAGAAGGCAGGTGTGTCCCTGGTCCTCCACACAGCCAGCCCCTCAGAGTGGCCGGGGAAGCAAGGGGCAGAGCGTCTGCTGGGATTGCCACTGTATTCAGAAGCGTTCATCCAGAAAAGGCAGCGGTTCTTCTAGAGAACTCGTGATTCTGAGTCTCTAAACCAGCACTGTTCAAGAGAAGTGCAGTGAAAGCCGTACATGTGATTTAAAAATCGTTCAGTGGTGATAAAAGAAACGTTCCCATACTGAGACACGGGGAAGTCATTCTGGCTTATGTGTGAGTTAGCGTGAATTTTATGGTAACTGAAATAGCTGGTTTGTGGCCTATCAAACATACATTGTGCATCTGCTTTAATTCCTAAAGAAAAGGGCGCAATGACCAGAAGTAACGAATGCCCATGTTAAAAATACAGGTTAAACGCCCCTCTTCCTGGGACGCCCGTGTTCAGCCTCTTTGATGGTAAGACCCTCTTCCCAGGCGCCAAGGCCATACTGACTCACTGCATACACGCTGGCCTGCTCTTTTGAAACCTTGAAGAAATAAATGTTCCCTTGACCTGTTTAATGTTCTTTGTTCTGACGAGATAGAAAACTGTGCTGAAAAACTATGCTTCTCTGGAACAGTTTCTCAGAGCAATCTGAGAAGTTGCCTTCAGGGCTGTGGGTCTCAGTTTGGCTCAGATAAAAGTCTTTTCTAGTCCTATCACTGATTGTTAATTGATTGTTTTCATTGATGGCAGCCATATTAAAAACAGAAAAAGAGGCAGGTGAAGTTAATTTACTAATATATCTTATTTAGCCCAACATGCACTATTTCAGGGGGCTTCCCAGGTGGCACGAGGGGTAAAGAATCTGCCTGCCAGTGCAGGAGACATAAGAGACATAAATTCAATCCCTGGGTCAGGAAGATCCCCTGGAGGAGGGCATGGCAACCCACTCCAGTATTCTTGCCTGGAGAATCCCATGGACAGAGGAGCCTGGCGGGCTACAGTCCATAGGATTGCAAAGATTCAGACACGACTAGCACAGTACTATCTCATTGTATAATCTATAGACAGTGACTTCTATTAACAATACTGTACTGCAGATTTGAAAGTTGCTAAGAGAGTAGATCTTAAAAGCTCTCATCACATGAAAAAAAAAAAAATGTCTCACTATGTATGGTGAGGGATGTTAGCTAGACTTATTGCAGTGATCATTTCCCAATCTATGAGTCTATCAAACCATTATGCTGTGTACCCGACACTAATAAAATGTGTTTTTCACTTTTATAAATATTTTTCTTAAAGTTTTTTGGTGTGGACTATTGTTAAAGTCTTTATTGAATTTGTTAAAATACAGCATTTGTTTTATGTTTTGGTTTTCTGGCTGTGAGACATATGGCATCTTAGTTCCCTGACTAGGGATCAAATCCACATGGACCCCCTGCTCTGGAAGGCAGTCTTAACCACTAGACTGCCAGGCAAGTCCCTACAATGTTAATGTCAATTGTAATTGGAGGAGGACAATTTTTTAGTTAAAAAAAGATTGAGATATTTTATATTCTTCTTTTTCATACTAAGTCTTCAAATACCTGCTGTGTACTTCCTTCTTACAGCACATCTCAGCTAGGACTAGGCACATTTCAAGCTCTCGGTAACTAATGGCTGGGGGCTGCCCCTTTGGACCGTAGAGATACCAGGCCCTTTCGGCTCCACGCAGGATCTGGCTGTACTCCCAGCGTGCATGCGTGTTGAGGCGGTGGTGAGGGTGTGGACCAGGAAGCTCCGAAAAGAAATCCGCGTGGTTTGGTGGGTGAAAGGGCACTGCGCAAGGGCGACCAGCGCAGAATGCCGGCCCAGGCGCTGGGTGTGGCCACCGCTTTAGACGCTGATGCAAATGAGTCACCATGGGCTGCAGCCACACCAGGGGACAGAGAGAGCTGGAAAGGCAGAGAAAAGCAACCCGAGGGGCCTGAGGCTGTGTCAGCCCTAAGTAAGGCCTGGCCAGCTCGCTGGGCAAGAACAACTTCCAAATCCCAACCAGGGTCTCCTCCTCGAGTCAGAGGACCCAACCCTGCAAGTCCTTGAGCTTTGCCAGGGAAGGACACTGCCGGGTTTGTGGCTTTTCCTGCATCTAGACCACCAGCTAGAGCATGAGCCTTTATTTGTTCATTCTGAGCCCAAGCGAACACTGCAAGCTTGAGACAGTAATGCAAAGGGAACCAGCATTGAAGAGAGGCTACCTCAGGAAGCCTAGGTACAAATCCCTGCCCTGCCCCTTCCTAACATCTGACTCAAGGAAAGTTACCCTTGGAGCCCCAGTTATAAGGGGAGGCTAGTGGTGCCAACCCTGTTGCCAACCTCACAGGGAAGTCGTTGATTGCAGTCAATGGTGTGTGTCAAGCCTTCCACACAGTGCCTGGCACGTAGGAAGTCCTCCCCCAACGGCTGCTGCATGCAGGCCATCCAGAATTGTCAGCATTACCCACTTGACCTTGAAGCTGCAGGCGGTCAACTGGCCAAGAAACAGGACGATGAGAGGCCTACTGATGTGCCCACGTTCCCACAGCTGACACTGGCTTCACCTCTCCCACCCACCACGCCTTCCATGACTAGTTAGAGGACATCTCTGCAGAGTGTATAAGATGGAATTCTTGCTTTCTTTTGAGTTTTTCAGGCTTGGTTGTTGCTGTTTGATTTGGCTTCTGACCAAGAGTTAAGGCGGGGCTTTAAGAAGCTGATATCTCGCCATCTCTTCTGTTGGTCAAGGTCGCTCTCAGAGGGACCCGGACTGCACAGGGGGGCCTGGAAGGACCCAGGGTGCTGGCTGAGAAGCTCAAAAGCCAAGACTGTACAGAGTGCAGCCTCCACAGGGGTGTGGAGTGAGGCCTCAGTCAACAGAAAGGCGGGAAGCGGTGCCACGGCGGGGGGTTTGCAGGATGCTGGGCTGGACTGGGCTCCTCAGCGCCTTGATCCAGGAGGCCTTGTGGGCCACGGCTTGCTTTGGGGACCCTGTGAGATTACAGAAGCCCTGCCTCTCCCAAACACCCTGTCTAGAGGAGCGCAGGGGCCTCACTTGGGAAGCAGGCAGGTCACAGGCAGTGAGGCCACTACAGCAGAGCCTGTGGGGCCTGGACGAATGTATCTTCCCCACGAACCTATGTCTTGGAAGCAGCCCGGAAAGTCATCTGGTCCAGACACTTTGCTTTGTAGGAGATAAAAGGAGAGCAGAAAGAGGATGAGAAATATGCTCAAAGTCACACCACCAGAGAGCAGCTGTTAAAGAAGGTGGTGGGAGGAGGTGCAGAAGGAAGGGGCAGGTCTCCAGAGCTGGGGTAGGGGGTGGGACCTGGGACTGCTCATGCCACCAGCCCAGGGCAGCAGCCCAAGCCTTCATCCGGCTCATTCAGGACAACGGGACTGTCATCAGCATGGACGTCTGACTGGAGATGATCCCAGGGTATCCTACACAGACTGGGAGGCCGGATCCCATCAGGCAGATTCCAGAGGTCCGTCTTCAGTAAAGATAATTCAGTGATTACTAGTTACATCACAGTTAACTTTGAGGAAACAATAGTCTCAAGTGTTCATACAACTCCCTTCCTTGGAGGAGAACTCACATCAGCTGGGGAGGATGGGTTCAGACACATCAGACTGCAGCCAAAGGGATGTGCCTGATGGCTCAGTGGTGAAGAATCTGCCCGCCATGTAGGAGACCCAGCTTTGATCCCTGGGTCAGGAAGATCCCTGGAGAAGGGAATGGCTCCCCACTCCAATATTCTTGCCTAAAGAGTTCCATGAACAGAGGAGCCTGGTGGGTTACAGCCCATGGGGTCACAAAGAGTCGGACACGACTGAGCGACTAACTGGAGGCACTTGCCTGGAAGAGGAGACAGTCTCAGACATCACAGCTGAGGTGCCCAGGGGCCGAAAGAATCAATAGTGTCTTCCAGGGGCCCAAAGAATCAATAGTGTCTTCCTCCAGGGCTTCAAGGACAGGACAGGCAGCAGTCTTCAGAGAGAGTCTGAAGGCTGCAGACCTTGGGGTGGATCTGGGCCTCTCACGGTTTCTCCTGTCCTGCAGAATGTTTGTCGAATGGCTGACTGATACAGTTACTAGAAGACCATCACTAACCCATTCTTCTCTTCCAAGACTCACGGAACCGAGCCCAGGGGCTGCCACTGGGCCCGCAGGTGCCTTCCAGCTTGGAACTTGCCTGGAGCCGGGAGCAGGGAAGTGAGGGGGGCAATGGGAGTCCACAGCCTCCCCCCGTCGCTCTGTCTTCCTCTCCACCTGAAGGGAACGGGGATGATGACCCTGAGCACTCCTCATAGCCGCGCGGCAAGAGGGTTAATTAATGCAGCTCACATGCTCAGAGATCCCTAAATGAGGGCGTTAGCCCAGGGCCACCATTATTAGAGTGATGATGGCTATTAGTATTTACACTATTGTTATTATGTTTGCTCTCTCAACCCTTAAATCACACTCCATCTCGCGATCGCTTGCATTTTATGTAATTATAGTTTATATAGGTAACAAATGGATATTTCTGCTAGCCTGGGAGAGAGCCTTCTGCATACATTAATTTGCCTGATTAGTTCCCTATTTGGTAGGCTTTGTTCAACCAACCCACCCCCACTGCCGCCTTTCCTGCTTCAGGAAAAATTAATGAGTTTTAACACCTTGCAAAAGTGGGCTGCGCCATGGGAATAGTTCCAGTGTACTCTGGGTTTTAAATCCACACATTCAGAGGCTTCCTAAAGGTTAGGCAAAGGTTAACAAACAATTAATATGTTGAATCAGTGTGCTAAATCTGTTTACCCAATCTTTGCAATCTAAAGGCCATTAGCCATCAGCCTCAACATTTTAGATTGATCTCTCTCTTTCCTAACCTACCCCCATCCTGTCCCCTGGATGATCTGGCTGAAAAGAAGAAGAAAAAAAAAATCTGAACCGAGAGCACTAAATATCTCTGGAAAGTTAGAGTTGTGTTGCTACCTAAGGTTCAAAGCTTTGGGGGTCCTGATAGAACTGACTGAATGAGCCAGAATTTTTGAGAAGACAATGCAAGTAGGAGGCGCTTCTGCCTTTTTAACAAAGAGCAGAACGTGGGTTACTCTTATCAACATGTTGAGTTCATGTGTGGATCTCCTCCCTTATTTATAGAAAGAAGGAGATGGGGAGAGGTACGGGCAGCACCCACGTTGGGAGACTAATAAGAAAGTGTCCTGCCATGCTGTCCTCTAAGGAGAATATATTGCAAAGTAGTTGGAGTCCAGAATTTCCTCTCCTTAGGAGGTGAGAGGAAGAGGATAAGAAATAGCCTAATTTCACAAAAAAACTCAATGCTCTTACTTTTGGGAAGCTGTTGGGGTTTTTTTTTTTAAGATTTTTTTTTTAATGTGTACCATTTTTATAGTCTTGCTTGAATTTGTTACAATATTACTTCTGTTTTACGCTTTTGGGCCACAAGGCATGTGAGATCTTAGTTCCCAAAGAGGGATTGAATCTGCATCTCCTGCATCGGAAGACGAAGTCTTAACCACTGGACCTCCAGGGAAGTCCCTGGGATACTGTTGTTGATGATAAAGATATCCATGACATCAATGAAGATAATGACCTTAATCAACAAGATTTATCACTAGAATCCAGGGTCCATGAGGAAATCCACGTGTTGTCTAGCCCAGCCTGGCCCCTTGGAAAGAAGCTGCTCTGCCCACACAGAGCAAATGCCTCCAGCCTCGGCTCAACAGAAACAGTCTCCTGTTGACCTAGACCCCCTCACTTTTGCCTGTTCCCAGCTTCTCTGCTTGCCAATCACCTTGTCCCGCTATCCAAGTCCCCCTTTTTCGGGCAATCAGCCCTGCACACAGACTGCCTGGGGTGCTTTCTTAGACGTGACTTGACGTCTGCTCTGGGAACCTAGTCTCCGGGGAGCTGGTGTTGCCAAAGAACCCCAAAGAGAAACATCCAGAGGACACCAGGTACAGCTCTCCCGGACAACCACGACCTAGCTGGTCCCTTGATCCGCTGCCCCACCCTTCTTCCACACTAGGGAGGCAGAGGCGGCCCACCAGGTCGGGGAGGAGAAGAGCAGAGCAAATAGAGAGCGGGCTGGTCCCACTCTGCACCCTCTGCCCGAGCTTAAGGAGGGGAGAAGTCACCAAAGGATGAGTTTGCTATAAGCCTGGACTTGACATTTGACTACGTGAAGAAGTGAGACTCTTTGCTCATGCCTAGGAGTAGCCAAAAAGCAAGAGAAAGGGGAAGGGAATCCACAGAATCAGCGCAGAGGCAGTGGGGGGAGAAGCCAGTGGCTCCCTGCTTGCACCCCACCACACCCCGCTGGTTCCATCACCAGGTAAGTCTGTATTTTTTTCCATTTTTTATATTGAGCTAGCCTGACTTATATAGGGAGCGAAAAATAAACTCTATGCTTTAAAAAGAAAAGAGCTGTGCCCTCTAAATTTCAAAGTGTTAAGATTGATGAGAATGTGTCCAAGAGGAGCCTGGATGAACCGGGAGAGGAAGGAGATGAGGTGTGCTCTTGGGACTGGGGAATTAAGTTTCCCCAAGGTCTTGTGTCTCGACGAGACAACAGACTTCAGCAAAAACAAGGCAACTGGCAAGCTCTGGGTGTATGCTAGCCACCCTGAACCACAGGATCCAGATGTGTGATCAAAACGGCCAGTAATTTAGAATATTAAAATATTCTTCCAGCATCAACACATGCTTTCTGGCAAATTCCCTAGAAATGCACACTCAGCCTGTTCCCAGCTTCCTTGGGAGAGAGCTCTCGAGGAGAGACCTCTTTGCAGCCAGAAAGACTTCTTCATGGATCCCAAAAACCCGGGTCTTCTGACTGTGAGTCAAAGTCTCCAAGGCCATGTTTCATGGCCAAAGAAAGAAAACAGTTTCATTGTTTAAAGAAATGCCAGGCTGATGATAAGGAGGGGGAAAAAAAATAGATAAGCTATTCCATGTCCTATAAGTCATTCAAGGGTTTTATGCATCGATTTTATCCTTAAAAATAGAGGAGGGAATTAGGTTATGTTTGGGGGAAACCACTGAAACCTTCAGATCTGGCTTGCTCAGCGGCCGGCCCCCGATGAAGTGTGTGTATTGATCGACGAGGCAGCAGATGGAGGAAAAAGTACTGTGAACACTGATCTAAGGCCACCGGGTCTGCAGAGATGGCCTGTGGCTCTCAGCACACATATAACCCAGCCGTGGTCCTTGGGAAGAGCAGGCAGGCTCTGAGTCGCCTGGGCCTGGTGGATGGAACCCACTCAACCCCACTCCTGCCCGTGAAACAGACATCTCCGTGTGCTTGATTGTGGGGGCGGGGTGGGGGGGTGCGCGCCATGGACTTCTACTCCACTTCTCAGCCTGAAAGTCCAATTCAGGAGACAGTCCTCCCAGTTAGATGTGGCTGGTTCAACTTGACCTCCTTCCATCCTAGATTTTCCTCTTCGACTGGGAGGAGAAGAGAGGGAGAGTTTGCGCAAAGATGAGGCTTCCCATTCATAAGCAGAAACAAGCATTTCAGCCTCCCGCAGCCCCAGTGGATGAGGGTGGGGAGATCACCTGTAAGGAGATGGGGAAAGTGCCACCACCCCTAAGCCAAGAACCACTGGTCTGCCGCCAGATCCTGTATGTCCTGAGAGAGGCAGAGGCTCAGCTCACCCACTGCGGCTTCCCCGGCAGAAGGGAGGTGTCCAGGCCCCAGTCAGATGGGGCTGCACTCCCCGCTGTCCACCAGCACCCAGCCACTCTTCAGGGGTGCACTCCCAAGCCTGAACTGCGGGGTGTTGGTGTGTTTTTGCTACACTCTCCTTCCCTTTCCCTGGGGCTGGAACCAAGGCAGCCAGCCTCAAGCCTGTGCCAGCACCAAGACCTGATGGCAGGAACCCGGGTTCCTCTGGCTGTGTGGGAGGCCCACGTCCAACTGTGGCATCACAGGAAACTCCTATCTTGCAAGAGGACTCAGTTACCACTGGGTCTACTGGTTAGAGCAACCAAGCCTCGCTTCTCACCAATACACCCCCTTAAGTTGACCACCACCCAAGGCTGCTACCGCTCTCGCCGCCTTCATCAATCCTGGGAGGACAGGCAAGAGAAAGTTCTCCAGGAGGCAAAAACCACAGCACAGGGGAGCATTCTCTCTGAGATGCAACCTAAGTGAGACCAGGGGCAAAGGACCAAACTCTAAACCCCTCATGTTTCTGCTCGGTTCTTAATTATAACCCCATTCGCGAGCCAAACCCTGTCATTCCATCTCTCTTAATGACTGCTTTCTATTCTGGGTCTCCCTCCACCCTATTATCTTTTGCAATATTCAGGAGCTCAGGCGATGAAGGGGGCCGGCCGCTCCTTCACCGCCTGCCTTCTCCATCTTTTTAAATATTTCAGTTGCTCCCCATCCTTATTTTTGCATTTCGATTTCCTGCGGTACAGGACATTTATCTTGGTCACTCAATCAAGTTTTGCCCGACTTCCCTCCCTTATCTTTTCTGCTCCAGGCTGACTGAAAATACCTACATTATCTTTGTAGCTGAGGTGCCAACTGGAGGGAAATCTGCAGATGGTCTTGATAGAGCTGTCTGGGGAACCTGTCAGAGGACAAGGACACAGTGACCTCCGCAGGGACTTGGTCTCAAGGTCGACCGCCCAGCTCAGGCTCTCACAGAGGCGTTGGTGAGGACCACCCCCTCCTCTGTGGTCTGGTTCAGACCAGCCTCCCACTGGGGCTTTGTCCTCCCCTGGAGTGGGTTCACAGATGCCCTGACCCCCCTCCCCTGACCCCTGATGGCCTTGACCACGGAGTTCCTGAGCCCCAGACGCCCCACAGAGGACACCAAGCCACAGTTTTTCACATTAATGGGATACGAGCAGAGCTCTCCCGACGGGACCCCAAAACCAAAATTTGAGAGAGCAGCTCCATCTCTGCTGTCTGGAATCCTGAGGTTTTTGAACTGAAGAATCTCTACTATGATGAGGCTGATGCCCCCCAGGGAGACCAGAGCATGGAGACAATGGCAGATGAAGATCCATTCCTTTAAAGGTCCCACACCACATCTCTGCAGGGCAAGCCGTACTGAACCACCCTAAGACCCCGCAGGTTTGGTGACAGATGGACTTCGAGTGTTGCTTGTATGATGGGAAAGAGCATGCATGTGCCTCGGGTGAGCCTCAGGCCGAATCAGCTCAGACTTAACTTCCACCAAATGGTACCCTCTCCATTGCATGCTGGACGGTGGGAGGGAGAGAGGGTGTGGGTCATTGTCAAGCTGTCTTATTGATGGTCGATGAACCCATGTGAATCCAGAACACATAAATAATGGCCCTTTGTTTCAGATTCATGGGGTACCATCTAATGTGTTAGGATCCAGAGATCATTTGGTGTCCAGCTCCTCAAAGGATGCAAGACCTCCAGCCTCAGCTCTTGGCTTTTTGGGCACACCCTTCTCAAAGCTGATATGGAAAACCCTTTCATCCCCCTTGAGGTTCTTTCTTTTCCCTTTAGTCCATTCCCCTCCCCCTCCCTCTGGGTTCCACTTGTGCTCAACCCTTGGCACGCGTTTCAGACCCTGGGTCCCCCTGCATTTGATGACGCTGGGACTGGGAAACAGGCTACAAGACCCAAGCTTGGATCCTGGCAGACACTCTGCTTAGCAAACCTCTTGTGTGTTACAAGAGCAGCTCTGGTTTCTTCTCTGAGGCTTTAAACACCTAGGAACTGCATTTATCTTCCTGTAAGACCTGATCAATGTGGCCTAAACAAGATAGAGATTTATATTTCTCTCATGGCATAAAAAAAAATTAAAAAAACGAGGCAGGCCAGAGCTGCTCTGGTAGATTCCAGGCTCCTTCTAGGTTTCTGCTCCACCACCCTCAGCACGTGGCTTCCCAAGGCAGCTTCACTGTGGCTGCTGCAGCTCCAGGCATCCTGGCGGCATTCCGGGCAGCAGGAAAGAGAAATAGCCAAAGAGCCTCCACTTACATCTCATTGACAACACGAAGCTGTGAGGGAGACTAGAAACTCGATGTCGGCTGGACATGTGGCCCAGGACCCTGACACTAAGGAAGAGCATAATGGAGAGAGAGGAGAGGGTCTCCCACAGCAGTGATCAGAGCTGCGGTCAGCAGGGGAGATGCTGGAATCAGATGCCACAGGCTCAGAGGCTTCGCTCCAGCTGCAACAGCCTCAGCAAGTTACCGCATCTCTCTGTCTTTCTCTGTCCTCATGTACGGGGCTTCCCAGGTGGTTCAGAGGCAAAGAATCCCCCTGCCAATGCAGGAGATGCAGGAGATGCAGGTTCAATCCTTGGGTTGGGAAGATCCCCTGGAAAAGCAAACGGCAACCCTCTCCGGTATTCTTGCCTGGAATATCCCATGGACAGAGGAGCCTGGGGGGGCTACAGTCTCTGGGGTCCTCATGTACATAATACTATGGGAGTTTTATATACATACATACATAATACATTATATTATATACATACATAATACATTATATTATATACATATATACACATGTATATGTATATACATATATGCAAATGATATATGTATATAGATATATATTATATACATGCTAATATACATAATATTATATACATACACACATAATACATATGTACTATGGGAGTAACCACAGTATGTTAGCAATGCTATTATTGTTTCTTCCTGGGAATGCACAGTGCTCTGGTGCATGGGAAGTGCTGTTCACTATTATTCCTCGGCCTGTAGTTATATTACTGACTCCGGCTGTTACCTTGCCTGGTATGAACCTTGCCTGTCTGACCACAGAGGAGGGTCTGTGCTTGGGGTCTGCTGAGAGGGAGGTGGTAGAAGGGGTACTGCATCTTTTTAATTTCTTACTCCCAGGGCCGAAGGAACTCTAGGCACCTTGCGACACCCCTTCACCTGCCTCTCCCTCTTCCCACTAGCAGAGTACGGAATACAAGGAAGTCAGACAGAAGGATGCCTCCTGTTCTGCCCACCTCAAGCCCCAAGTTCAGGGTTAAAGATGTCAGCCTCCCCCAGAGTCGGAGCCAAGCCCATTTTGGGGGCTTGGGGCATCCCCCTGACCCTCGCTCCAGGGAATTTACAGTCTAGAACAGGAGTCAGCAAACTAGAGCCTGTTAGCCACACCTAGTCTGAAAGCTGTGGCTTTTTTTTTTTTTTAATTTGTAGCATTTTTTTTTAATGTGGACCATTTTTAAAGTGTTTATTGAATTTGTTACAATACTGCCTCTGTCCTTTATGTTTGCTCTGATTTTTCAGCCATGAGGCATGTGAGATCTGAGCTCCCGACCAGAAATCAAACCTGTACCCTGCCCTGGAAGGTGAAGTCTTAACCACTGGACCACCATGGAGGTCCCCTGACAGCTGTTTTGATAAATAAAGCTTTATTGGCACACAGCTGACATTGCACCTCATCTTTCATATCATCTGTGGCTGCTTCTGCATTAGAACAGCAGGGCTGAGTGGCTGCGACAGACAGACACAGCCCACAAGTCTGAAGTTCTTCCTATCTGACCCCTTCCAGAAAAAGCGTTCCAATCTCTCCTACAAGGAGGAAAGAAACATGTTTGTAAAGACACCATCAGGTGTATGTAATCAAATATACATTGAGTCAATGTTTGTAAAGATACAGAAATGGGCCTGGAAAACTCAAAGCGGACAGCTAGAACTCAGCATTGACATGCAGATGAGGGTAAGGGCAGACTGCAGACACGGTCCAAGACAAAGTTGGTCTAATCTGTAACATTTTGTTTTAGGAGGAGAATAGATTTCAGCAGTTAAAAACTAATTTTTAACAGAGTACATTGACTGCCGGAAAGAGTGTGCCATGTTTAACACTCAGAGACCCCTAATAAAGTATAAATTAATATAACATTTTTGGAAAGCAATTTGGCAAAATATATCAAGAGCCTTAAACATGCTTGTACTCTTGGCCTCATAATTTCACTTCTGGGAATCCATCCTAAGGCTATAAATTAAAATGTCAAAACTCTGTATGCACAAATATGTCCATTGTGAGATGACTTACAGTAGCAAAAGGCTAGAACCAGTTAGATAGTCCATCATACCACAGTTAGATAAATAATGATGTAGTCATATGATAGAATATTGTATAGTAATTAAAATGTCACAAAGAAGTTTGTAAGTAACTTGGAGAAATGTGAAGGGAATGAATAGGACACAAACTTAAGTATAATTTCATCACAGCTATATTAAAAAAAATTAGCATTACCACCTGGGCAGCCCCAACTGTCAGAGATGTTATCTTTGGAGGGGTGGATAACTCATGTCTCTTGTCTTTATGCTCACATGTGTATCTTTTTTCTGAGACCATGTTGGGTTTTGTTTTCATAACAGGGAATGTGTATACCACCTTCAAGTACTGGGGCTTTTGAAAGGTTCCTTGTGAGCCAAGCAGATCAGAGAGAGGTTCCAGGGGAAGGAGAGGAAGAGGTGGGAGTTAACCACCTCATGTCTGTGGAGTCGGAGAGCAGGGCAGAGGAAAAGAAGAGATTTACACTCCACTCTGCAAACGGACAGGTCAGAAGCATGGTCTGTGGACACAGCTCAACCCAATGCCACCTTCCCTTCTGCTGAGGACAGGGCGGGGGGTGGGGGGTGGCGGGGGGGGGAGGCGGAAAGGGGCGCGGTTGAAGGGTTGGCCTCTTCCCACTCCAGGAACTGGAGTCAAGCTCATCACAAGGCCCGGGTACCAGCAGAGAGGGAGGCAGATGGACAGGAAGCCTGGGGTGGGGGTGGGGAAGGTCCATTCATTTTCCCTTCAGGCACATCTAAGGCACAGGGATCCCTGCCTTCTGGACGTTTTCCTCTGACTCAGACCTTCTACCAAGTTCTGAGACCTGCCCCCCACAGCAAGGCACCCTCCTCCTAGAGTTCTGTTTTCTCCTAATGTAACTACACATGTTTAGGCCTCTCTGTCCTCACTCTGAAAAGACAGGAAAATAATACCAAAGCTGAGCCCTCAGTCCATGCAGGCTTTCAGCAGGGCTCCAACGGACCAGGCCTTCTTGAAGGCAGGAAATTGGGCACCCATACAGGAACCCCTCCCCAAGAAAACATCTAAACCTGGGTCCCTCCAGCAAATAACAGCCCTCCCACTTTGTAGCCAGATGGAACAGGCCTCCAATCTTAGCTTTCCCTAACTCAGCTTCATGACCCTGGGCAAGAGATCTACCCTCTCTGGGCCCCCATTGCTTCGCCTGTAGATTAGGGGAGGGAATGCGGTTCCAACAACACAAATAATTTTTAAAGGTGCTCCAGGCAATGGTTGGCATATAGTGTGTGCTCATAAAAGATTATTCTTTTTTAAAGTTTTTATTTATGTATGTTTGTGCTTTTGGCCACGCTGGATCTTCATTGCTGTGTGGGCTTTTCTCTGGTTGGGGAGGTTCAATCCCTGGGTCAGGAAGATCCCCTGGAGAATGGAATTGCAACCCACTCCAGTATTATTGCTTGGAGAATTCCACAGACACACCATGGGGTCGCAAAGAGTTGGACACTACTGAGTAACTAACACACACATATCCAACGTACTCAGGCTTCAAGAAGCAAACTCAAATAATTACAGGGCTCCACCCCATCTCCCACCTCCTCCCCCCACACGACCCCCCACCCTCACCCCTGCCCCAACACAGCGCTTCCTGAGCACAGGGGTCTGAAGCTCCCTCTCTCCCCTGCACCAGGAGAGCAATTACCGCCAGAGCCTTTCATCCGGTAATTAATCACAGAGGGACCCGTGACACCTCTGCCACTGTGCTAGAAGTGCTGCTCACCGCGTTCCCTGGCCCTGCACCTCCCCTGGGTCAGTATCTCCTCTCTTGACTAGACTACAAGCCCCTCGAGGACGAGGTTGCTTCTTGTTTTCTTCCTCTGTATCTCTCTTCCATTGTCAATTGACACTTACCTGTCGCACGTTGGATTTCTGTGTTTCTCTAGGTCCTGCCCACAGAAAGTGCAGGTCTACTTGGCTGGTGCAGGGTAGAATATTTGTAGCTCAAAATACATCAGGACAGTTCTGTGATGGGTTGCTTCCACAGGGGAAATGCAAGCAATCTGCATTCTCTGATTCTGAGCAGAAGGTGGGGGTGAGGGCGTGTGGGGTACGAAGCCAGTGCTGCTAAATTGAGGGTTTGATGTGTGTCTGGGGTGATGTCAGGACATGGGTTGCTTCTTGCACCCACAGCTGCTTCTGGGGGTCCTATGTCCCAGGGAAGCTGGACTTAATCAGTAAGGGTGGGGGCAAAGGGACCATGCAGTCAAGCCGAATCTGGAATCATTCAGCAAAGGGACCGTCAGGACCCTCTCACCTCTGCTCCCTGGGCTGGGCTTGTGGGTCCCGGAGGGCCCTGAGGAGTACACGGCCAGTGGGAGCAGCTGTGTCCCCGCCTCCCTCCGCAGCTGGGGCACCTCTGGTCAGGGCAGGAGCTGTCACATGCAGCTGACGGCCGCGGGGGCGCCGGGGCTCAGGCGCCCAGCACATGGCTTCCTTTCTGATCCAGGCCTCCCCTGGGCTGGCGTCCCCCACCACCAGAGCAGCAAATGGCCAGCGGGGACCTTGGAGAGGGAACAGAGAGGGGCAGGGAGGGGCTAACAGCACCTGCTCCCTGCTCACCTCCTTTCCTCCTTCAAAGTCACAGGGTGGTGCCTCCCTTTCTTTGTTGCATTCCTGCAAATAGGGGAATTCAGACTTCAGTCATACTGGTTGTTGGGAACTCAGAAAGGAACTTGAGAAAGAAAGCAGTTGGGTGCAGCTAGGCACGACTGGGGCCCCACCCCAGGCCAGGCTAAACACCCACTAGCTGGACCCCAGGGCAGAGCTGAGGGCCTCCCCTCCGCCTCCAGTATTTTAACCTCTACACCGCCCAGCCAAGAGCCAGCATCTCCCACCTTCATCCCACCGCTGCCCCTTCTCCGGGCAGAAGTTTTCCCTCAAACCTCCACAAAGAGGTTCTTCCTGGTCCTGTGGCGTGGCTAATAGCTGCGGCCGTGAGCTCTGATGGGGGAAGGAGCCCCGGAGGAGGAAAGCGGGCTGGCTGGGGGCGGCGGGTGAGGGAGACCTGTTTTTCCTCTCCAGCAGCATCTCCGGCTGCCTGGACCAGTGGTCCAGACTCCCGTGACGGGAGAGCGCCCCCTGCTGCCCGAGCCCGGCTGGTGTCGCACAGCCCGGACACCTGCAGCGCCTCATCCGGGAGCCGGTCATCCCGGGAACCGGTCAGTCACCCAGGGAGCCACAGGGCGGAGCCGACTGGCAGGAGGCGCATGCCAGCTCTCTGTCCCGACGTCCGCCTGGAGTGGCCAAGGACCGGACCAGCCCCATCTGGGCGGCGGTTCTCTAGCATAGCGTGGTGAAGAGTATGGGATCTGGTTCAGAACACAACTCACCGCTTGCCAACAGCGGGCATGCGGTTTAACCTCTAAAGTTCCAGTTTCTTCATCAGAAACTGGATGAAGATCCAGTTCTTCTGGATGAAGATCCGTATTTCTTCTGAGATCGTTAATAGTATGTATATCACAGAGATGCTTTAAGGAGATAATTAATGTAAAACACAGTGAGCTTTCAATAACCATAACTATTATCATCGATTCTGCTGACACCTCTACAACTATGTGATAAGAGAAGAACTGACAAGATCCCATGGACAAAAGCCAGGGGATTTGATTTTTTTTCCAAAGCATTTTCATCATTAAATGGATCTGATCTAGTTCCATGGGCATATCTGAGGGAAACAACTTTGCCTAAAGGGGAAATAAATGCCAGAGACATTCACAGAAACATCAACCACAAACAATTACTAAACACATTGATCAACGCTCCAAGCTGTGCAATAAAGAAAAAGGGAAAAGTCATGTTTGGGGAGACTCTGGCCTGCATTGTCAATTTTTTCCACTTGGCTGGATTATATCCACTAACTACAAATGTGTTGAAACATCTCCCATGGCGGGGGGGGGGGGGACCTGACTCCACATCCCCCCAGGCTAGCTCCCTCCCCAGTTGTTTCTTTCTTACAGACTTACATCTTTTACTGACTCTGCTTCCTCTCCTTCTGTTAGCTCTTGAACCCACTCAGTCAGGCGTGCCCGCCATACACTTCACTTTACCTGCCCTTGTCCTGGGACCAGTGACCCTCATACAGCGCACCCAGCGGTGGTCCACTGTCAGGCCTCATCACTCTGCCCATTAGCAACATTCCCATGGCAGACAGGCCACCCCTTTGCCCTTGAAACGCTTCCTTCCTTCCACCACCTCCGGTTCTCCTCCTGCCTCCCTGCACAGTTCTCAGTCATCCTTAGCCGGATGCCCATCTTCTCAGCCTCTAAATGTCAGGAGGCCCTGGGCTCAGCGTTTTTATCTACGCTGACTCTAGGGGACCACCACCAGCCCTGTGCTTTAACTCCTACCCTCTGGTGATGCCCCCATTCATGTCCCTGCTCCCTGAATACCACACACCAGCAGCCTCTTCACTGTCTTCACCCAGTGATCCTATCATCACCTAACTTGTCACATTCAAATGGAACTTCTGAGCCTCTCTCCTCTCTCTTTCCCTCTCCTCCCTTTTCCATCTGAAGAAATAGAAACTTCATGCTTCTAGATGCTCTAGAGAAACACCATGACCACCCTTTTTACCTCTCTTACTTCCATTCCCTACATCAGTCCATCAGTAAATCCAGTCTGTTCTACCTCCAAGATGTATCAAAGTCTGACTGCTTCTTGAATTCTCCGCTGCTACCTCTGGTCCAAGCCACGATGATTTCCTGCCTGGCCTCCCAGTTTCCACTCCAAATCTTTCCACATAGCAGCAGACAGCCTTTGATAGCAGAAGTGAAATCATGTCAGTCTTTTGCTGAAAATTCTCCAAAGGTCTCCCTCCTCAACAAGAATAGAATACTGTGGTCTCCAGGGCCACACATGACCGTGCCCCTGGCCTCTCATCTGAGTTCATCTCCTACCCCATGTCCACTGCACCTGGGCCACACTGGCCTCCTGGTTATTGCCGGAGTGTGATGAGCATGGCTCTGCCTCAGGGCCTTTGCACTTACTGTTCTCTCTCCCTGGTTCTGATCCCAGGCCACTTCCCTCGCTCTTTCAATCTCTGCTCATCTTAGCAGAGAGGCCTTCCCCGATGACTCTAAATAAGACAGAAACCCCACCAGCTTCTTCCTCCTTACTATGATGTATTTTCATTGCATTTATAACCATTTGACATATGAATTTGATAATTATATTTTCTATTTCCTCCAAGCAGATGCTTGCTCCAAGGAGTAAGGACTTTGTTTTGTTCACTGCTATATTTCCACTTCCTAACATACTGGCCAGCACAGAATCTCTGCTCAGTAAAATACCTGTTGACTGCAGAAATAAATTCATCCACATGAGCCTCCTCTCCCCATGATCAAGAAGCAAAAGACCCAAAGTTAACCTCAGTTCTAATTCCAGAGATGGGTACTTTCTCGGATAATATCCGAGACAGCCCTGGGTTCACAGCCCTGGGTTTTGCCTGTCACCAGTAACCTACTAGACAGGTCTTTATCTTGAGCAGGAGCAATAAGGCCTCAGTCTTCTCAATCTCAAAAGTATTGATTGGATGAAGCACAGGCTGGAATCAAGATCGCCAGGAGAAATATCAATAACCTCAGATATGCAGATAACAGCTCACTTATGGCAGAAAACGAATAAGGTGAAAGTGAAAGAGAAAAGTGAAAAAGTTGGCTTAAAACTCAACATTCAGAAAACTAAGATCATGGCATCTGGTCCCATCACTTCATGGCAAATAGATGGGGAAACAATGGAAACAGTGACAGACTTTATTTTGGGGGGCTCCAAAATCACTGCAGATGGTGATTGCAGCCATGAAATTAAAAAACGCTTGCTCCTTGGAAGAAAATCTATGACCAACCTAGACAGCATAGTAAAAAGCAGAGACATTATTTACCAACAAAGGTCCGTCTAGTCAAAGCTATGATTTTTCCAGTAGTCATGTATGGATGTGAGAGTTGGACTATAAAGAAAGCTGAGCCCCAAAGAATTGATGCTTTTGAATTGTGGTATTGGAGAAGATTCTTGAGAGTCCCTTGGACTGCAAGGAGATCCAACCAGTCAGTCCTAAAGGAAATCAGTCCTGACCATTCATTGGAAGGACAGATGCTGAAGTTGAAACTCCAATACTTTGGCCACCTGATAAGAAGAACCAACTCATTGGAAAAGACCCTGTTGCTGGGAAAGATTGAAGGTGGGAGGAGGACGGAGACGACAGAGGATGCGATGGTTGGATGGCATCACCGACTCAATGGACATGAGTTTGAGCAAGCTCCAGGAGTTGATGATGGACAGGGAAGCTGGGCATGCTGCAGTCCATGGGGTCACAGAGTCGGATATGACTGAGTGACTGAACTGAAGATTCTAAGACAATATATTCTTTTTCACTTCTGGGTTGGCCAGTTAGACTTCTTTTTTTTTTTTCCATTATAAGAACAGAGACAAACTTGTGAAATAATCCACCTCAGATTTTCTTCTGCTATATCACACCTTCAGTCTGAATCATTCACTGTTCCAACAATACAGTCAAAGAAATGAACATTTTTGGTAACACCAACTGGCTTACCTTCTTTGGCTTCAAATGTTAAGTTCTTCTCCTTGGCTTTGACCTTATTCTTTCATTCAAGAAACATTTGGCCATATAAACAACTGCATAAAAGATAATTTCCATTAATGTGAAACATTAATATAGGTTTCCCTTCCTTCCTTACAAGGTACAAGGAAGCCCAGAGAAAGATGACTGGAGCGATATATTAATAAAAAGGGGATCAGGATACTTCCCTTTGGTCCAGTTTCTAACACTCCATGCTCCCAGGGCAGGGGGCCTGGGTTCAGTCCCTGGTGGGGGAACTAGCTCTCACATGCTGTGACCAAAGATCCCTCATGCTGCAGCTAAGACCCGGCACAGCCCAATAAATAAATAAATAAAAATAAGAAAAAAATAAACTCATTGAAACACATTTTGAAAGGTGGATTTGGGTCGAGTGGGGGCTGAAGGCAGCTCATCAACTGGGAAATTAATGCAATAGTCCAGGCAAGACCCAGGCAGAGCGGCGGTGGGCGGCGGGGCTGCTGTTGGGGGATGGGCTGGACCGAAGACGGACCCCAGGGGTGATGGGAGCGGAGGCACGGGTCCAGGGAGGCTCTCAGATTTGGGGGTGGGATGACTGCACACCCTGGAAGATCATTTGCCAGCCCTTCTTCCTCTTCCTCCTACACCTTCGGGCTCTATTTAATTGCCTTCAGTGCACAGACCAAAAAGTGAGGGCAAGAGCAGTCATTTCCACCTAAGCTTTTAGTGAAGAATAAACAGCTGATTCACATAGAGGACTTTGGACAGGACCTGGGGCATAATGAGCACTCAGCGAGCGTGAGCTTCGCTCACCATCATTCGTTATCGTCGCCGACGTCACTGCCAGCAGCCTGACCGTCACCATCACTTATTTCTCCGCCTCCCACCCTGAGTCCCTGTGTTCTCCCCGATCCCAAGGAGCCGTCACTACGTTCCGGGGGCCTTCTTCTTGAGACCAGTGCACAGCCTCACATCTTTTGGCAGCTTCATTTTTCTGGTATTTCCAAGACACCCCAAGAGCTGTCCTGGAGGAAACTTTTGCCACATTGAAAATCGAAGCTCGCCCCCTCGGCCCCGCGGCCTTCCCTCCGTCTGCAGCCGCGGCCCGGCTCCTTCTCCCTCGGGCAGAAGCTTCCTCCGCCACCTGATGGCTCTGGGGGAAGCCTGCCTGTTCCTCCTTCCGCTCTCTAAATGCTCACAGATGTCCGTCTGCTTTCTTCTGCTGTGTGCCTTCCAAAAGACGGGGGAAGATCAGATACTTGTAAATATTTCAGTCCCGCTTTTTCTTTCTCTCTTACTATCAAAAGAAGTAGGAGGTGGTGAGGGGATGTTTGCCTCCTTCCGGGTGGGATTGAAGTTGGCAAAACCTGAAAACAGCTTCATTTCCTCTCCTTGGGGGATAGGAACGGTGAATTAGCTGACCAGGCAACTACAGTGAACTCTTAACCCCTTATTCCTGCTCCATAGACTCTGA